GAGGAACATTTCGAGGCTCGGAGAGCGAAGTGAGTAGCTGGTTGCTGCTAACGCTGTAAACCCTGCCGCTTCCCAGGGGAAGGAACAGCGGGGGGTAGAATGTGAACGGGGTCCGCACGCCTGACGCCTGATTCCCGTTCTGTTTCCCAGGACCGGCTCTGTCAACTGCCTCGTAGCAGAGGGATATAAAATCCTGCTGGTCGATCCGGGGCTGGCGAGCAGGCCATTAGGCTAAAACAGCAAGTTTAACGTTCGCCAAATGCGGCCTTCACAATCAGAATCAACGTTATTCGTGTATAGTTGGTCACAATAACGTAAAATAAAGTAAATTACAAAAATAACAAAGAGTATTAACATAAAGCAACAAACAACCAGCAGTATAGAGCACATACACATAAGCAAAATCTGATATACTTTAATTTATATGTACCTCATATACCTTACTTTATATGTATCTTCTATACCTTACCTTATATATACCTGCTATACCTTACATTATATGTATCTCATATACCTTAATCTATATATATCTCCTATACCTTACTTATGCAGCAGCATCGCGGTACAAAGTTCCTCTTTCGCTAGTGTTCAGGTATCATGCAGATCACAGGCTTGTTGACAGGTGCCAGTCACTATGGACCAGGGGCCTAAAAGAACGGGACAGAATTTTTAAAAGTTGCCCCGGAGCTGTTTATAATTCATCATAATCATTATTTTATTGGCTTGTCTATCTGCCTGGCAGGATGGCATTAGCTAGCATCTGTGTTTGAATGCTAAACAGGAGGCCAAAGAGCCGCCGCACCGATGAAGACAGATGTCGAAATGTGTGCCAACCCGACTACACAGGGCCGAGACAGATGACCCATTTCTGATTTCGAGGTGAAAGAAATGTCTGCAAGATTAAAAAATAAATACCCCCCCCCCCAACAGGAATTTGGTCAATTTGAACGCGAGAGTGTGACCCACCATAGAATTTCTGCTGATGAGATCTTAAAATAATTAAGCAATTAAGCCTTATATTTTTGCTTGCGATTAACTGATAATCTATACTTTCTGGGCAAATTGCCCCCGACAGGAAAATCAAGTTTAACGCAATCGTTCTGTAACACGGTTTTGAGTGATTTCGGCACACCCAGGAAACAAAGCTATCAATGTTTGCATCAGGATTTTAGAAACATCTGCAACTCACGGCTAGAAAATGTCTCGCACAGATAAAACGGTCTAGAGAAATTATAAGACAAGGAAAAAAGGAAATTATCCTGCAGGATAAACAATTCTCCTCCCCCCAGTTGAGCTATTTAAAGCGTCGGTGTCTAGAGAAGAGGCTTCAGCAAGTGTCGAGGAAACGGGGGCTTTCGTTTCCTATTTTGAACCGCGGCGTCTCTAGTGACATCACGGCGGTCTCGGAAGAGGTCTCCCCGGCCATTCCCGGGATTTGGGTTACAAAACAGAGCCACCGCACTCTCTCCGAGCTGCCGTCCCGGTACGCAGCCTCGTCTGCATTCGGCGGTGAGCACGTGGCCCGGGCGACACCCTCTTTCCGCTTGTTAGCTCTCGTTACGCGCCGGATAAGCGCTAAACGAAGTGAGGCCAGGGTGCCCGCAGCCCGCCAAATATATGCGGGACTAATGGCGTGGCTCGTCGTAAACACCGCCCCCCCCCCCGCATATCGCCTGCGCATAACTTATATCTCCCTCACATTCGACCGTGCAATTAGCAGGTAAGAAATTTGGGGAGGGTGGTTGTTTCCTGCTAACTGTCCCACTATAACTTCTCATGTATTTGCTGGAGCCCCAGGGTCAAGCACCTCCCCCAGGGTGGATTTCTGGGGCTTGATTTACCCCCCCTTGGCGCCGTGCTGAAAGGCCGGGTCGCCGACCCCTAAGCGCCGTGTCCGTGTTAACGCTGTTTCCGTTTCCCGGCTCGTTCATTCTCTCAGAACAAGAGTACCGGTGATGTTAAAGACTCTCTCGCCGTGGCCACTCCACCCCCCCCCCCCCGGCTGATTAATAGGGGGGGGCGTAACTGTCCAGCGGCCGTGACAGTTCCGCCTGAACGACCCTCAGCCCCTTAAAGCTCACACTGATCGCTCGGTGCATGAAGGAGGCACCAAAAAAATAAATAATCAATCACATGAATAATTATCCTCAAACTTGATGTCTGTTCTGACAAATATAACTGACAAACCGACCATCGGGTGTCATAGTTCAATGACTACTTATTACAAAAGATGCAATATTATAACAACAACAAAACTGGCTAATAATAATAATAATAATAATAATAAAAAATAAAACTCATCTGGAAAAGTAGGTTGCAGGCAGATCAAATGACAGAATGGCAATTATAGTAATTGTATGACAATGATGATTATTGTTATGGCGGATGACTTGATATTATTGTTGTTGTTTTGTTGTTGTGTTTGTTGATTTATACACGCGTAGCGGGAGGCGTGAATCGGCCCCCAGTGTTCTCGCGGTTCCTCACAGCAGCAGGCCCCCCGGCTCGTCGCAGGACCCTTGCGGGACCCTTAACCTGCATCACCGTCGCTATTGGCCACGCTGAATTACAGCTTCCGGGGAATATGCCCGACTTGTTTCCTGATAAACTTCATTTCATTCTTAAGGCATAGATCCCCTTTAACATAATGTGACATATACATTCATACATGCTTTAAAAAACATTAATAGTTCTTGGCTGGGAATTATTTTTCAACGTATTTTTTTTTTTGTAGATTATTACTTTGTTCATTACTATACAGAACTGTTTATAGACCTTAAAAGGGAGGAAGGACCAATCAGGAATTTTCAGGTTTTTTTTTTTTAACTCCCACATGTCAGAGATGTAGTTGTTTTATTTATTTATCGTTTGCTGTGTGTTGGCCTCTGATTTAATGAGGGCCCCCATATACAAATATAGAAATATCAATTCTGTTTTTATTTAACTGAGTGCAGCACGCAAACCGGCTGACTCACCCATGTATAAATCGACGTGGCCACTATTAAGATAATTAAAATATAAAGCTAACAAGCTTTCGGTGTCGTCCGACTCGACCAGGAGAAAATCTTGGTGAGGGCAGGCAGGTCCTGATGGACAGACTTTTCTGCCGCATGAAATATATCACCGATAGTCTGGGAATTGGTTGGGGGCGGGTTGGTTCTGGAATAGCTAGTTATGTTTAGCGTTATGACACCACATTTGTTTTTGCTGAGGTGACCGGGTACCAGTTTATGGTTCGAGTGTGTGCTTTTTTCTGCAAGTCCGTGCACAAAAATTGACAGCAAGGAAACAAACGGTCAACACTTAAAGGGGATCTCAGACATCCCAGGATGTGAGCGGAATGCCAACAGAGGGAAATGGGAAAATAGGGCGACCTGCCCTTTTATCCTGTGTCTGTAGCACTTTTACTGAAGCACCACACACACACATTATCCTACTATATCACAGAATTTTATTGCGCTACAAATTATTCAGTGTTAAATTATTATTATTATTATTCTTTTTTACTCTTTTGGACAAGTAGAGATATCCGTAACAACATTTTAGATTGCTGCGAAATAACTCACTGGGCAGTCTTCATTCTGAGGATCCTCACTGAGATCACCCCCCCATCTCAGTGTAAATCTGAACCTCAATAGAAAAATCATCCTTTGTCTTAGTTCCCTCAGAACCTCCACTTCAGGAATTAGCTTTCAACAGAATGGGTTACAAATGAGGTACTAAGCATTTGTAATAGGGGTTGAGAAAGGTCAGCGCGGTATTAATAATGCATCTGGGGAATATGTCCACCAACACAGACAGATTTCAGACATCTCTCCAAATAACAAATACTTCTTCTGCTGCAGGAAAACAGAAGGTTAAACTGGCAGAGTTTTTAAAACAATATAGCAATAAATATCTGATTTAAAACAGACAGGTAAAACACAGATTCCTACAACTGTATGGCTTCTTTACGGAATTTGTGGAAGAAATATGTGTTTGAGACGCTGGATGGGTTTTTGGATGCGATCGTCGTGGAAAGTAAGTGCTATTGTGCAGCCTGAATGAAGGACGGCTTTACTGAATTTCTCATTATTTAACCTGTTTTTAAGTGCCTGCAATTTAAGTAGCTTCAATTTAAGCACCTTGAATTTAAGCACCTTGAATTTAAGCACCTTGAATTTAAGTGCCTTGAATTTAAGCGCGTTTAATTATGCATTTTGTAATTGCTGCTGTACATCACACGTGTTCTCTGGGAACCTCCGAAAATAACGTTAGGGGCATATTTAGCGACTCCACATAAACCCAGGGAACACGAACGCTAGCCATCGATTCACTTGTCGTTGGGCTGTTTGTGAGAGGACAGCAATTTACACCCGGGAAAAACTGCCCAGAGGGTCGACTGCTTCTGTTTCTGTTTCCACTTTGTCACCTGACGGGCGCAGGAATGGCCAGGCTCCCATGCTGGTCTGGAGGGTTTGGCGGCGGCTAACGGCCTTTCGGAGAAATCCACGGAAAAAGTCAGGAAGAGGGGCTATTGATTTAGCGGGCCGCAGACAGGCGGGGAGTTCAGAGGAATTCACGATGGAGGCAGCAGCCGGTGACTGGGGGCTGGGGGCCGGGGAGGGGGTGGGTAGCTGTTTGTAGCTTGTGGCACCTGCTCTGCGGCTAAATGGGAGCCCTCCATCTCTGTCAGCCTCCAGGCTGCTCAATCGATGGCGGAAAAGAGCGGGAAAAGTCAGGATGGAGGGTTTTTTCCGACGGCCCCGGTGCACGGGAGGCAGAGTGGGATTGATCGACAGGCACGTGGGGGGGTGGTCTGGCAGAGGCCTACGCACTAGCGTCCTGCATCCCTCGCGACAGACGGTGACCCCTGGGGCCACAGCTGAGCCAAATGTCAACATTGCTGCAGCAAGAGAGTAGAGGAAGGGAGGAAAAAAAAACAAAACAGCACGCAAAAGCGGATAGGAGGGGCCACATCGCTCACGCCGTGTCTCTCTCTCTCTCTCCTCCCAACGCAGCGGAGTGGCACTGGCACGTGCCCACTATGAGAAGCAGCCGCCCTCCAACCTGCGCAAGTCCAACTTCTTCCACTTCGTGCTGGCGCTGTACGACCGGCAGGGCCAGCCCGTGGAGATCGAGCGGACCTCCTACGTGGACTTCGTGGAGAAGGACAAGGTCAGGTGTGCCATGTCCATCACAGCGGGAAGCTAAATCATCAGAGCGGGGCTCACTCCAGCCTGTGTCTGTGGATTGGGGGGGTGATGTCAGACTGTTGGCACACCTCCACTCCAACCCCCCACCCGAAGCGATCCCTTTCTCTTGTTTTCGGAGCAGATAATTCTGTTTCTCCTTGGGCCTCTTTTGCGGGATGTGGGGGGCCCTCCAAACAAGGACCCCCCCCCCCCAGCTAAATGTTTATGGTATCTACACTCTGCTTTTGAGTATGCACACCTAGTATGCACAGTACAGAACAACATCTGATGCTGATATTGTCTTCTGGGTAAATTAAACACATACAGGTGCCTCTTGAACTCCTCGACAGGGCTATATTACTGGAAACCTCTAGTAAGGTGAAAACATATCAAGTCGAATATGAATATGATATGAAAAATACATTAATATATAAATAACTACTGTCACTGAATAAGTAGTTACTATAACTAGCTAAATACCAGTAATTGAAAAGTAATAAATGAATAAGTTTTTTTGTATCATTAAATGTACAGTACTGTTTGGATAAATAGAGAAAAACACTGTATGATACTTCGTTAAACACCGTATGAGACGTTTCTCCTTATGATCGCTACACAGACTGGAAGCGAGGCCAGGCGGACGCTAACATCTCCCAGCAGCAATAGAAAGTATCGTACAGCATATATAGCCCAGGAAAAGATCAAAATTGAAAGTTTGATGAGTACTGAATGTGCACCGCTGTTGGCCATCGTAAGGTGGAAATATCACAAGCGGCACCATGGTAAAGTGAGGAGCATCTGTAATTACGGAGTTTCATCTCTCATTACTTAGATCACGGTAATTTTTATAAGCAGTTTTCCTGTATTCATCAGCTTGATCATGACAAAGCGAAGAAGGAAAAATAGTATCTGTACATATATATCTAAATATTTACACAAACAAATGTGATTCACTGGACTTTAATAAGCGGAAGAAGCAATTAAATTAAAAGACTGAAATTAAATGACATTTGAATAACATTTATTTGGTCTATAGCAAATATTTTAAATTACATAGAAGTGTTAACTTCACATTTAAATAGCCTATTGCTGAGATAGTATAATTTAAAACTTTGCTTTCTTTATGGTGGAATAAGATAAACGGTTTCATTGACATCAGAGACAGAGAATTCATCCGTTTGGTCCTTTCATCCATTACATGCAATTTTTAAAGCTAGCCCTAGTGGGCGCTAGGTAACCCACAGCCCCAAAATGCTAATACCTGATACTTGGCAGGCGACTGCTGGACATCCAAATAGTGCAGTACTCCCGTTTAAGCTGGAGTCACTGTGTCTTTTAGCTAGGACTGTGTCACCACTGCTGATACCCAATTGTCCTGGTGATGGTAACTTAACAGGCCTCTTAATTTTATGTTTGTATTTTTTGGTATAATATGGCCCTTCACATTTAAATTAACACACAAGTTCACTCATTCACGAAATTACACGATGGCATCGACATACCTCCGATTTTAATGACTCGGAAATGTGCGCTTAATGAAATGTTTCTACTCAACCCTTTGTTGACATGCACCATTGTTGTAGCATAATGAAGTGTAGTCATGGTGTCGCGCACAGCATTTAATGCGTTTCCTAGGCTAAGCCTCGCCGCGTACCGTCGACCGACGCGTGATGGGGGGGGGTGTCTTTTTGAGCGTTTTTAAGCAGCCTGTCAATAGGAGTACTTGAGAACACAATTTCAAAAAGTTCGAAGCTGGTTGACCCGCATCATGTCTGTCAGCTCTGGAACATCTGCACGCAACATTTGCGATTAATATTCCGCACTTTTGCGCAGGGGGACGTCATTTTAGGTAAATAGGCGCACGCAGACGTGCACGAGCACCAAAGGGCTGTCGGTTTACGGAACACGGGTCCATTTGACGTATTACTGGAGAAACATGTGTTTTTACTGATCCTTACATTCCCAGCCCAATTTTTTTTTTGAAGAACTGTCATTGTCGGTACCAAATGTATAATATAATTTGAGTTTTAAAACTGTTTATAATTCTTCAGAAAATGAAATACAGAGAATTATCTCTGCACTCATTCTTTTTTTGTTTTATAAGTAACCGGTTGAGGACTTATTTAAATACCGGAGACATTAACCTCCCCGGATAGCCTTTTTCAGATATGTTTTGTTTACCTGTTTGAACGAGAGCCGGGTTTGTTTTAGTATGAGGTTATGGATGGATAACTTTGCTGGAGGATAGGCGGGCCTCAAGCCAGCTGGCAACGCCTCAGTCCACCACCGTCCCTGCCAACTCACCTCCGGCTCGACCTCTGCGCTCCCTTCCACTCCGCCTGAGGTGTCTGCCAGAGCAGAATGGAAGAGTTGGCACAGAGCTCCGGAGGGGAGCAGTGGAAGGGGGGGACATGTGGGGGGGGGGGTGATCGGCTGTCCAGGAGTGCGCTCTGGTGCCCATTTGGGGACGTATTCACCCCCCCCACCGAAGCTGAGCCGGTTGTAGGAAAATCGGCCCATGCATCGAAACGTACATCTGTGTGCATTTAACTGGATTTAGTGACGGCTTTGCTTTCGGTCCATGCGAACATGAAGTTTGTTTCCTTTCACATTCCCCACAGCTTTAACCAAAAAAAAAAAAGGGAGCGTTGGGCAATAGGATGGAACAGCTGGCTTTCAGCGCAGCGATGAGGGAAAATGCGAGATTCCACTGCTGATCTTGCCGAGCACCAGAGCCTCGGAAGTGGCCCTGTATTAAGTGTACCTATGCGGTGCTTAATCCTCCCCTCAGTTTACAGTGGGGGGGGGGTGGTGATGAAAAAAAGCGTTGTGTTTTACACGGAACGTAAGGTGCAGCTGCAAAGTCGTTTAGGTGCAGCTGCGGAGTAACGGACTTCTGGTGGAACGGAAACATCTCCTCATGTTGTGCTCCCCTTCCTGAATGAAAAACTAGCTAAATGTTGAGCAAAAACGTTAAGAATGGCGTGTCAAGGAGGAGGGACTGAGAACCACTGAGTGTGTGGTGAGTGGGGGGCTGGCTGCTGGGGATGTGCAAGCAGCCTGTCTCACACCGGCCGTGTGTCGCTGAGCACGTCCATCCTTGTGGGATTTTTTTTTTCAAGGTACCAACAGCTGTTAGGCTGCAAGAAGCAGACCGGAGCGTTTCCTTTGGGTGCCGTTCGGTTAAAATGCCACCCCAGCAACTCCATTCCCCCCCACCCACCACCACTACCACCACCCCCTCTTTTAAACCTCCCACAGCCTTATGTAGTTCAAATTTTCATACAAGACACCAAATTTCTGGACTTTAAATGAAATCGGATGGATCAGTGATGAGCACACAACTGGTTTGCACCCAGATTAACAAGACTCACCGCACATTTTCAGCACAGGGTTCAGGGGAACAGATTGCTCTTTAGGAGGCTGGGCATAGACGTTCCGCTAAGGAAAGAGGTGCTTTAACATGACAGCTGCAACACTAATGTGCCGACCTGCACACACTCCTATCGGCAAACAACAGCGACCGCGTCCCGGCCGCTGATAAATCTCGCTGATTACGGCAAGGTTATTGCTGCCTTTATCATACTGATGGGATATCAGCGGGTGTGACACCAAAAAGTACCCCTGCACCCCCCTCCCCCCGAGATTTATTTTACTCCACATCTCCCTTGAGCGGGTGGGCTAAGGAATCCGCAGAGTTGTACATGTGAGATTCCGCCCGATCCTTCTCCCACTTGCTGTTCCGGAAAGTGCTGCCTGACCTCATACTTCTGCACTCCCTGACATGCCCCTGAACATGCTGGCCAGCGGTCATTAATCCCGGCTGTCTCCCCAAGGCACCCCGGGCGGGCTTCGGGGGCGGCAGACCAGCGCCTCCCCTGGGATTAGGAGCGGGGCTGCAGCTGGGAGGAGCTAAGGCTGGACCATCCGCCTGCCTGAACCTTTCCCCAATCCCGCTAGCTCGGCGCTCAGTCATGGCCCCAAGGGCCCCCTTCCCTTAAGCCGGTGGGTTTTAAAAGACTGTCCCGTTTTTGTGTCTAACAGGAGTACAACGGAGAGAAGACCAACAATGGGATACACTACAGGCTACAGCTCCTCTACAGCAACGGTAAGGCGGCCCTGACCTGCGGCCATTAACCAATCCCATCCTCCCTGTTTCAGAAGGGGCGTGGCTACAGGATGACACTGTGTGAATCAGACAAGTAGCAACAATGTAACTTTATGTTAGAAACACAAACCTTATTATTCTTATAGGAGAAATATCTTTAAGAATAAAATACTCTAGGAGATTAATATATGACATAGATAAATATGATAAAAAAAATAATAGGAATCCAGCAGAGCTGGTGCTTGGTCCTCTAATAAAATGCCAAAGGTATGCAAGAAAGTAATTCTGACTGACTACATCCATTCAATCAGTGTTTCTCAACGCTGGCCTTGGGGACCCCCTCAAACAATCCACATTTTCGCTCCCTTCCAGCTCCCGGCACACCTGTACTTGGCATTTGGTGTTTTTGATTGTTCAGGTTCAGAGCTGGGAGGAAGCAAAAATGTGAACTGGCTGGGGGTCCCCAAGGACTGGGCTGACAGACACTGTGTTAGATGGGCTTGGGTCCTCATGGCTCATTTTCACTGCGGCCCGATCCATCAGCAGCCTTAAGATAACCTCAACGGTGTGACGTTTCGTGTTGGTTGAGGGGTGGAGGGGGGAAGCAGACTGGGGAAAACTGAGATGTCTGTGTTAGCAGTGGGGGCTCGGGGGGGCAGCAGTGGACATATACACAGAAAACCGCCCTCATGGTTTACCGGAATATGTCTGGCGGTATATCAGCAAGGGCCCTGGCTTCGTGCGGACGGCCTCCCTCCACGGTCTGCCCCAAAGCGGGTCCCCGGCCCGGACGTGCTCACCATCACTCCCCGTGCCCCAGTTTAGCTGCATTAGTGCACTAATGGAGAACGGCAATAGTGATTGATTCCTAATTCGTTTTTAAATTTTAATATCTTGTTATCCTAAAGGGATAGACAACAGGGGGTGGGGGTTCTGGCATCCATGATTCAGGCGGGGACACTGTAAATAATTAATTCCGGCTGAGATTTGTTTGTTTTTGCTTGTGGTGGTGGTGGTGGGGGGGAGGCAGTTACTATAAGCTTGCATGCCTGACAAGTGTTACAGAAAACACAAGTGTACTACTGGGACAGATGCAGTAAGGGAGCGGGTCTCTGGGAAATGACACCCCCCTGCTTTCTTTGCTGCAGTTTGGGTCAATGCTGGGGGGCAGCTCCCCTCGCTAACTTCTGCTGATGCAAGGTCCCTGTTTTCACCCTCAGGAATCAGGACAGAGCAAGACCTGTATGTGCGGTTGATAGACTCCATGACCAAACAGGTGAGAATTTCCTCCCACCCCCCATCTGTGTCCTCGGGGGCCAGGGTGGCCTTACCTTCTGGGATGCTCGGTGCTAAGGGACCAGGCGAGGGTGTCAGGAGGCTCCGGAGACAGCTGTTCTCTCAACGAACTATCTTAGAGTTCACCTAACTCCCGAGATTTAACTGTGAAGGTTACAAGCGCTCCGCATCCAGGGAATGCCGGATTTCCATTTTAGACTGGGAAAAACGAGCAGATCCGTAATATTCCTGAGGTTTCGCGCAGTCAAAACAATCAAGATGCTCAAAGCAATTCACAGAAGTGTCCTGGAACATATCGATTCTGCATGCCGTCTGTAATGAAATACTCATTTAGTCTCCTTCTCTCTTTAAGCCACATAAAAATAAGACAAATTAATAGCCTTTCTTATGCTTTTTAAAATAGTTTGATATTTTTTTAAGAGCATGACCCCTGGAATTGAAGTACCGCTATGCTTTCAGAAAAAAGGGTAAAGATTTGTACCTTTGCTTGTCACTGGGGCTGTACCTGCCACTTATACCCTTAGCTGCAGGTAAATGTACCTTTTAAGGTACAGAAATGGACTTCGATGAACATTTCCGAACCATTGATGGTACATAAATGCTGTTTGTACCTTTGGGATGTTCTTCAGAGTCCATTTCCGTACCTTTAAAGGTTATAGCCCCAGTGACGAGCAAAGGTAACATTTTTACCCTTTTTTATCCATGTCAATTTAATGGAATGTAGATTCTACCAGTGACTTGGAGTCGGCCCCTCCTGATGTTGTCGACCCCCCCTGCAGTACACAGACCCCCCCTTTCTGTCACCCACCCCGGGTCAGCGGTCGATATGGAAACCTCCTGCCCAACAAAGCAGCAGCCTGTAAGACTGATCAATAACCCCTAATGTAGCCTCAGAGGTAGCAGGCTGGAGACAGTGATCCAAACAGCAGCCAGAGTGAAACAACAACATCAACAAAGAGAGCTGCAGGCTGCCGAATACAGACGGGGCGACGCTGCGCCGAGGATGATATGCCACACCGGACCTGCATCACGCAGCTTTTCCAACACCCTCCTCAACTCTGGTCATGTGGTCAGGTCATGTGATCGGGTCATGTGATCTGACCTGTTGCCCCTGTAGCAGATTAATCTGGGTTTCCTGGCACACTTTTGCATAAAAATGAAGCGGGATGCATTTTCTTCCCGTTTCCATATTTACTCTCTTAACACGTTAATTTATTGCGTAAAATGTATCCATATAATCGATTTTGTGGTGTCAGTAATCGATGGGCCCCTCCGAGTTGCTTGTGCACCCTGTTTGTGGCAGGGGAGCGGCCCTTGGCCTCGTGCTGGAGCTCAGGCCCGACCGCCGGTCCGACCCGGGGTGAGGACGCCCAGCTGGGTCTCAGCGTGCCTCTTGGCTTATTGGAGAGCAGGTGTGCTGAGAGGACCCTGATTACCGCTCCTGCCGGGACACTCAGGAAATCAGGGACTTCTTAGGGCTGCCACGTGACACTGCCCCCCCCCACCCCACATCTCTCCATGTTTTCACGCCTCTACTCGAGCCCTTCGGGTCGCTCTTATTCTGCTGACCGGCTATGGAAATACGTCAGAGCAGATCTTGGCAGTTGTGATCTTTTGTGGGGAGGGGGGGGGGTCACAGAGCAGAGAGATCACTCACTTTACAGCCTGCAGTTTCCATAATGTGTAATTATCAATTAAGTCTGTTTGGGAAAAAATCGTAAAAACGTGACCCTGTGCACACACCCGGACTGAGTCGGCACACATGACGTCAAGTCTCGGGCCGGTATCAGGTCCGGACACGAGGTGGTTCATAGCTCTGATTCATGGTGCTGGCCACCCTCACAGACCCCGGCAGAGAGAGACGTTAAGAGGCCTCAGCGTCCCCCCCTTCCAAGGACCGAGCTCCCTGGACGTAGCTAAAATCACTTCGTTTGCCTCATACTTGACCACATTTCCAAGGCATATTAAAGACGGTTCGTAAACAGCAGCGATCTGACAGGCATCTCTACGGACAAACGTTTACCCAGACCTCGACTGACGATGCCCCATTTGACGCTCCGGTGTTTTACGCAAAGATCCAGACCGTACGTCCTTGAACGGTACCACCGTTACTTATATATAAATATCGACCAATCGCCTTTGACTTCTCGCCCCCCCGCCACCGCCAGCATTGGAAGTTGTTAATAAAAGAGGAGAGGCCTTCACTGCAACGGGAATCAATAATGCAAAAGCCGCTGTTATCCTAAAAGTATTGTCCCGCTGGGTATCCAGTCCAGCCCCCAACGACCAAATGACCATTAAGGGGGATGGAGCAGGGGCTATACCGATGGCCGCGATCCCATAACTCAGGGTACGAGCAGCCGTGATCAGAATGGAGTGAGTGTGGGACTCTTTCTCTCCCGGTAATACAAAGTAGTCTTCCCTCCCTCGTTAGTTGGGTGATGGATGGTGTGCAATTGGACCCGGCTGAGGGCAGCTGACCATCAGGACAGCGTCCCGGAGGGTGGGGAGAGGAAGAGGACCCCGCAGAGGGAGGAGGGACCGTCACCGGGTCCCTGTCCAAGTCCCCCGTCCAGCGCCAACCCTCCTTGTCGTTTTCAGACGTGTCAGATGGCAGCTGGGGTGTAGTGGAGGGATGAACGTGAAGTTGGAAGGGCAGGTTGGGTGCATCACTGTCGCCTCTCTTTGCAGGCCATCTTGTACGAGGGCCAAGACAAGAACCCAGAGATGTGCCGCGTGCTTCTCACCCACGAGATCATGTGCAGGTGGGTGTCTCCCCGCCACACCGCCTTGTCTGACCTCTGACCTTTTCCACCTCTGCATCGGCGTTTGACTCAGGGCGAGCTGCGGGGTCGCGGGCGGAATAAGCACGGTGAGCTCATGAGTAACGCTGACTCAGACAGAGCTCTGTTTGCGGTGCGTCAAACCCTATCAAGACCAGATCGTAATGCGTCTTTAAACCGCAAGTAGGAAGTATCTAGAGTCCCATAAATGTCATTATAATTTTAACAAATAAAATATAACATTTAGGATGTCTAAAATACTGCCCCATTAGTATTATAAGACATCGGACAGTCATATAAAAATAGCACTAATTACAGCATTTAGCGTTTATCGTGGGGGACTAGATCTCATACACACACACACCGATATGCACATGCACGTGCACACACACACACACACACACACACACACACACACAATCATCCTCCTTTACATTCTGACCCAATCAGTTCCCTCCCTGTGCTGCTTGTGTACCAGTCCTGACCCAATTCGGTATCGTGTGTATTTGCACATGGCTGACCTTACAGTTCTGCTGGGGGGGCAGGTGACATGTGGTCAGGAAGGGGTCACGGGGACCCCCCTTGTTAATGGCATCACGCTGGGGGTCGTCTTGCAGCATGCAGTGCAATTACCAGGTCCCTGAGGGCATGCTTACTGGGTGGGGGGGGGGGTTAGTGGTCCTGCATTGGTCCCATGTTAATAATGCATAAAAGGGGTGTGGGGCTACTAATGAGGGTGGGGGTAGAGATCTGGAGGCTATTGGGTCAGCAGTGCTCCCTTTCTGCTCTTACCTTATCCTGAAAGATCAGGACGCTGTGGTGCTGGACCCAGAATCCCAGTTTGCGATCTGAGCGTACTCTGGGTCCCAGTGAAGGGTATGTGGATGTGAACTGGGCAACTGTAACAGGCTCCTGCTAAGGCAGAATATCCTTATTTTTTTAAGGCCCTTTTATTTAGAAATATTACATGGATGGGAGCCAGCACTAAGACTGATTTAATGATTAAAGCTCTGCGCCGATAAAATGGCTCAGCCCTGCCCAGTAATGAGAAGAAAATGATTAGCTAAATAATCATGGTCAGCTAAAGGCGACGGAGGGAGCATCTCGAATCCGCTGCAACGAATGAACCGCTGACCGGGCCGTGCTCTCGCAGTCCCGGTGCTGACCAAAGACTCCCCCTGCCTACCTGACGGGAGTTACGGTCACATGGCATTAGTGACCGCGCAGACGAGGCCGCTTAATTCGCGGGTGGCCCTCAGCGTGCGCGGGGACGGGGCCCGGTGTCCTCGCTCTCACCGCCCCCCTCTATCGCCCCCTGCAGGCCCTCCGGGGCGGTGCGTAGCGGCCCTCCTCCCGCTGCGTTTCGTCCTTGTGACAGCCGGTTGGCATGGTGCAAAACAGGGGCGGGCGGGCGGGCACAGGGCGGTCGCCACGGGCGAGGGTGGCATGGATTGCGAAAGGCCGGCTGCCAGGCTGGCCCAGGGCACGCCGAGAGGGGCTGCCGTCCGAGCTGCGCGGCCAGCCAGCCAGAGCCGAATGCTGCATCTCATTAGCTTTGGCTAAGGCCTCCGGCTAGGAGTTTGGCTAATTACACCGCTCGCTCTCCCAAAAACAAGCACCGCTTTGAAATCGGCTTCACCGCTCCAAGAGCCTGTAGATGAGGGTCTCCTAAACCGTGCCTTAAAAGTGCGTCAAAGTGACGCGGAGGCACTAGGTGCGTCCTGGATTGCGATTTGGAACAGAACCCTTCAATTATGACCCTCAAAGCTTGTGATATGACCAGGGACAAGGCTGGAATCGCTGACCGAATTCCTAGAAGGGCTTTTTTGTCACATTTTCATAAAGATCTGAAAGGCCATTTTGGCTCCTCTGCAGCTCACGCTAAGGACCAGGGGCCCGGGGACCAGCTACCCATCCCCCCCCAGCTCTCAACAGAACATCTGCCTGTTGCCTGGGACTCGGGTCTGGAGGAGCGTGTTTGCCTTCGTTATCTGGCCCGGGTGTGAGCCTAGCCTGGCCCCGGGGGGCAATGCCATTAGGAGAGCATTATGCACGTACCGTCAAGATTTGTTTTTGTGTTTCGAGGGGGCCCCGGGTCCCCCGAGGCCCCCAGGCGGGCTCCGAGGGTCCTGTTTGTTTATAACACCCTCTCTCGCCGACTGTGGAGGCTGTCACCACAACGCTGCTGCTGGGCTTCCAAAGCTAATTGGTCTCCTGGAACCAGCGCTAATGGTCGGTGCGGCCGGGGGAATACATTACTGCCGTGAGATCTATGGCGACGGTCACGCACTCGCGGACAGGAAGGAAAACAAAAACAATGGCCGGTCGTTACCCTCCGAGACCCGCTGGCGTTTTAAATGAAGTGTAATGTATTTATTCGTACATTGGGGGCCAGCGTTGAGAGCTCTGCGCAAGCACGCGCGTTAAAAACCCCGTAAGACTTTATCAATTAAAAAATGCAAAGCAGCTTAATATTATAGAACCGGACTGACAGTGGTGACTAGGAATGGGATTTAACAATTGTTTAATGTTTCCTCCCTCAGTCTGAAATCGTGTGGCATCGGTAACCCTAAATTGCCCGTAGTGTGCGTGTGTCCTACGATGGATTGGCATCTCATCCGGGGCACCCCGTGTCTTGCCCCAGTGCATTCTGGGATAGGCCCTGACTCATTGTCGGTGCAGAAGTGGTTATGGAAAACGGATGGATAAACCGAACAAAATTTTAAAATAAATAAGCATAAGATGGCCAAAACTATAGAAACACTTTCAACTTTTTAAGATTGTAAAACTTTTCAACTGTTGCTCCAGTTATTTATTTGATCGTCCAATTTGTGATATTTGTAACATTCTTTTATTGTTTATAAATATTATCGCCAGTATTTGTGTTGTAATTTTTAAAGTATAAGCCGAAAAAACGCTAGGTGTTTCTACAATTTTGGCGATTAGTATATAATTTAAAAAAGGTTACAAATAAAGTAGCGTAAAAGAATGGCACAGTTTAAGAAACAATTTGAAATATGGAGAGGGTGTGGCACTAATAACCACGATAATCACATGGAGAGGGTGTGGCACTAATAACCACCATAATCACATGGAGAGGGTGTGGCACTAATAACCACCATAATCACATGGAAAGGCACTCTGATGCAGCAGAGCACACCTGTGATGACCTACACCGATATGTTATTATTATAGGGAAAATATCCCACTGATTGTCTGAGGGAGTTGGTCTGCAGGACGACTACGTAAGGAGAAGTGTAAATCCCAGAGAACGAAGGATTTGGGGATAAAGGGCAAGTTATTTTGGTGTGGGGTCTGCTTTAGCGCTTGGGAGCTAGAGAAGAAGGTGTTGCAAATACAGGCAGTGCCAGAAGGAAATGTGTAGCAGGGGATTATGGGTGGAGCAGACAGAGTAGATGGCAGCGAGTTACCGTGAGGTGATAAACCTGCTGCCGGCATGCCCAAGCTGGCTCCTGGCTGCTCTGCGAGGGGGTGCCGGTGGGGGCTGGAGGCAGGGCTCTGTGATGCCTGAGGTGGCAGAAGAGTCCGTACCCGCTGCTTTGAGATGAGGCTTTCCGGCCTGTGTGTGTGACCACTGTGTCACGCCAGGTTAGCGTGTGTGTGCGTGTGCCCGTGTGTGTGCGTGTGTGCCACATGCCACCACACTCGCAGCCGGGTGGGGGCCGTGGCCTCAGCCAGCCTGTCTCTGGCTCGGCGAGTGACCTTGGCCAGACCCGGCCCAGCTGGAGTGCTGGTTGCGGGCGGGGGCGGGGCGTGAGAGAGCAGCGTGGCGCCGGGTCCGAGCGGCTGCCGTGGCGGCGTGGCACAATGCCGCGCCGCCGGGTCTCCTGCCCCCCCCCCCGCCTAATGTCACGTGGGAGTGGCCTCAGCGAGGCGCCGGAGAGCTTCACACGGCCGACGTGAACGAGCTGCGTATGTCAGACGTCTCTGGTTTCACACTGCATTTTAACATTAAAACGCACGCTGGGTCACCCCCCCCCCCGCAAAAAAGCAACGGTAAATGTCACACACACACACACCTTTAATACAATTATTTTATTTTACACAATACATTAATTATTTTATAAAAAAAAAAATAAACATTTATGGGGTCCCAACCAGGGTGTCACAGGCTTCATGCTCGCTGTGATCTACTGTATATATGGTTATGGATGGATGGATGGATGGATGGATGATGGATGGATGGATGGAGTGATAGCATGAATATGTACCATGACACTCGGTTCTGACACCTGCAGATTCTGCCGTAATTAAACAGCCGGTGTGTGGTCATGTGACCCGTGTGAAATCATGTGACCTGCGTGCCTGATGGACGTATCTCTATTTCAGTCGGTGCTGTGACAAGAAGAGCTGCGGGAACCGGAATGAGACCCCTTCCGACCCGGTTATCATCGACAGGTGAGTCCTCCATGCCAGCCACCCATTGGGGGGTTCCCATGTACCTGTTTAGTGCCAGCCACTGGGGGGGGTCTGTTCTGAGAGCGTTGTGGGTCACTGGGAGACATGTTTAATGATGGTGACCTTACTCCATGTTTCTGTGCAAACCCCTTTATCATACAGAACGTCTCGCTGTCTTTTCTGAAACTCGTTCAGAGCGGCAGGCTCATCTGTGATATTCACCCACTCAGATCAGTACATGCAAAAAACGTGGAGCCCCCACCTTGTTTATGAGGCCATGCCTGTTGCTTCATAAGAGAGCGGGGTCATTGGCATCTGACTGCGGGTATGTCTGGGGGGGGGGGGGGGGACAGAGATGTTCGTCCATGGCGGATATAGAGGATATGCCACTTGTGTCTGGTGTGTGTATGTGTGTGTGTGTGGATTATGTTTACATTACATTTTGGGGACCCAATATTCCTCACAATGTAATAAAAACTTGTTATTTTGACGTTGTGGGGACCATTTTCCGGGTCGCCACAAAGATCTGTGAATGCAATCAAAAAACTAAAAGTGTCAAATGTCTGGTATTTTGTTTGGTTACTTATGGTTAAGATTTGGGCTGGTTATGTTGAGTTTAGAATTTCCCCAATAGAAATGGAAGGAGAGTCCCCACAAAGATATAATTACAAACCTGTATGTGTGTGTGTGTGCGTACTGGGTGGCTGGGGGTGCAGCCTGACCCCACCCTAACAACTAAGCCGGCAGCGTGTCAGGGCCTGGGGTCTTGCCTTTTAGCATTTCATCACCCCCCGCCACACACACTCCCCCCACCCCCCCCGATAACTCCTCCCATTTGGCTGCTGTCAGGCTGGCTGGGGCACAGCGTCCTCTTCCAGAAGGACGGCGCCCCCCCCGGGGTGCTGGGGGTCATTATCAAATCCTTGTTGGCTCGTTAGCCGTGCCTTGGAGACTGTCCAGGGCGCGGCAGAGAGGAGCCGGAAGCCATGACCCTCCCTTCACGCTTGGGCCGCTGCCGTAAGCCCCGTCCCCCCTACCCCCCCCAAACTCGCCCAAAAATGTCCTCTCACCTCCCACTGCCATGGCATGGCTCCGGTCGGCACTCTGGACCGGGTCACCTTTCAGCTTGAGTCTCTCTGCAACAAGCGGAACCGTTCGCAGACGTGTGCCGGCGCCTCAGATCGGACCCAAGTTCCACTCGAATCGGACCCGACTTCCACGCCTGGATTTACAGCTCTGCTTTTCTGTGACACACGTTGTGTTTCATCACCAGAGACGAGACCGTTTTCACTAATAATGGCGAGTGGAGTGTGCAGTACTAACAATGGCAGGAAATTCTGGAGTAATCAAACATTGGATTTCCAAGAATCAGGGGTGTCACTGAGGCTGATTTGGGGGGGCTTGGGCTATTTAAATGTTCCTTGGCCACCCCAAATAAATGTACACTTATTAGTTGAAATTAGTTGAAATAGTGTTCATTCATTTTCATTAAAATCAGAACCCCATCCTAGCAAAGGCTCAGCCCCCCTTATAAATCTCTAGTTATGTTCCTGCCAGAAATTCAGCATTCATTAAACCCGCTCTTTCAGTTCCGTGTCCACCCTGCCCTTTCTCTATCCTGTCATTCCCTCTCGGGGGGGGCTATTGGCCCCGCCCACATGGGGGTGGCGGCGGGGGTGGTGATTTAGGGTCGGCTCGCCCATGCAGCGGCATCTTAGCTCCCTATTAGGAGGGCTGGTATTTATGACCCCCCCCCCCCATTGCCTGCGTTCCCACCCTGTGGTTCCTTTAAACCAACAGATAAATCAGGCTGGGGCGGAGGACGCCATCGCAGCACCCGATGCAAATTATGGCCGTCACTCGTCTCCGTAAAGCGGCTAATGACTGGAATTCATCGCCGCCCTCGCCCGTGCAGATCCTGCCGTATAAATCAGCGCCCGCGTCCGCGTCCCATCTCCGCGCTCCGCATCGCCTAGCCCCCCCCCCCCTCGCCTGGCTAATGCGGGGGGGCCGACTCGACTTCCGCCGTGTGTCCGGATTGATTTAACGCTTTGTGGCGCTGACCCCCCGAGAAGTCGGAGATCTTCTTTGAATGATGGCTGCAATTAGGACCTCGGGCAAACGCGGGGAAAGTGGGCAGAGGCGGCGAGAACGTTCCGGACCCCCCCCCCGATAGCGCTCCACTTAACGGCTCTTGCTGTCCCCCCATGCCTTTACAAATAGGGGTGACGCTCCGCCCCCCTTACGGATCAGCGGACGAGCATCCGATGCCGGTTATCAGCCTGTACGTGCAGGTGGACAGACAGCGGGTGGGGCGGTTCATAATGGGTTAAAGCACCCCCCCCCACCACACACAATAAAGCACCAAGCTGGTCGTTTAAATGTCTCCCCCCCATTTAGGCTGGAATTCTGCCGAGCCAAGGCGAAATACGACAATGGCCTGGGTGACATATTACTGGCCGGGGTTTAAAACAGGTGTTATTACAAGCTAATATTGCAATTAGCTCACCCGGCGAGCTCCTCGGCAGGGCTGTAAATTTTCTGGCACCGTCAGGGCTTAACTGGGGCCCTTGTCTAATTGCCCCTACACAGACCTACCCCCCTCCCTGGATAAGACCCCCCCACACACACCTTTTCCTAGAAGAAGGCTCTTTGCTCCATTGTAGTGATTCACAGGAAGGCGGCGTGAACGTGATCAGCCCATAACTTCCTCCCTAATAGCTCAAGACCCTCTGGTGAATTTGGACTGGGTGAGGGAACATACCTGCTCACTAGCCCCGCCCTGCTGGTTGACTCTCGCTACCGCAATCTGTCCGGCGTATAGCTTCTCCTTCACGGCCAAAAGGAGGCATGAGGATTGGGAGGGTGGAGGGCCTGGCCATCTTCTGGACTTCCAGAAGATGAAAGAAGAGATAACAGCACCGATCCAGATATGCTAACGCTAATCATAGTTTAAGAGCAATCAAAATATTGCCCCTCAGGGCAAAGACTGAATATAGCCATTAAAAAAATAATTTCCCCTAGGCTTGGGAGATCTACAAGGCCGGAATGATCATGGAGCAAAGGAGGAAGAATGAAGAGATAGACAGATTGAATGGATGAGTACGATTGAGACAGCCGTGGTTGGTTAGGGTTAAACCAGAGGCGTGGGGTGGGGGTTTTGTAGGGGTACTAAGCTCTCTGGACCCTTACCAGCAATACCACCTATTGATCGGGAGGCCACTGCTTTGGAGCCAGCTAGATTAAGAGTATAGATTTGCAATAAAGGGAGCACATTACTCAGAAGCCCAGTTAAAATTGAAGCAAAAAATGATATCCTGAATGAGGTGGGATGAGTCAGGCCATGGGTGAGGCGGGGGGGGATGGTCAGAGCTGGCCGGGGCAGGGGGTGCATTGCATTGTGGGTAGACATTACAGCAGGGAGGACCACCTCGGTTCATGGGGAATCCAGTCAGGAGTACGTGCACAAGGTTACGGGCGTGTATGGGAAGCGTGGAAAGCTTGGGCATTTGGATCTCCTCTGTTAGAGGGCTGCAGAACCCTCTGGAAGGTCACCGCTCCTAAGAGCCAGCGTGAAAAATGATGTGGGGAAGGAAGGGAGTTTCCAGCGGCCCGTAAGACACGATACGAAACTGAACCCTGACCCGCTCGGTGCTGGAGGGGCCCACACCTCTGAGTAAACGCACCTGGCTTCCACCCGGACAACACCAGGGAGGGATCCCAGCTCACTGCTCCCTCTGGTGTAACCGTTCATTCCGTCTTGTTAGGTCACGGCCAGATGACACGTTTGTCACAGGGCCACTGCATTCCCTGCGTTCGCCACCAGGGACAAACTGCCACGGTGGAGCCACCAGCATAGCTGGAATAGTGATCGGTTGCGGGGTGATGCAGTGAGGGGCCTCTTCCCGGCTGATGTTAAGTTTGGTGACAGTGCCAACAGACATGCGGGAGTGCAAGCAGAAATGCGCACGCACACACATGCACACGTGCAGAAGCGTCCTAGAGCAGGGATGAGTCAAAGCAAGAGGAAGCGAGGAACCGCATGGGGTTTGTGTGTTATCCCATGGCACAGGATATCGTGTAACGCGGGCTGGAGCGTGTTGCATTATGGGTAGGGATCGCAGCACAGTTGCTTACTGAGTGAAAGCAGTTCTTGGAGGGTGTATGTGCACGAGGAACGACCTTCACGGACGGCACATGCAGTGGGAGTGGGGCGGGGGGGGGGGGGGGGTTAGTAAGATATACCGGCTGGTATTGTGTGGTTTATCCCCATTCCTCCTTCAGGGGGTGTCCAGTTTCAGCTTCCAAACAGACCTCCAAATAGAAAAACCGTTACAACCGCAAGTCCTCATCGGGCCCATATCGAATGATCACCTTCGGGGATGGACAGACGAGTAAATAAGGGTACCTACTGAAATCACCTCCCGTCACTGCAAACACTGGGAGTCTCCTGGCTTAAATATAAACCAGGCTGTTTCAGCAGCTTCCCCGGGGCCGGATCTGACCCCTTTCGTTATTTGTTCGTCCTCGATCGCAAATCTCGATGTTCCCAAACTGCTCTCGTCCCCCTGCTTTTAATTTGGTACATTCCATTCAAATGCAAAATAATGTTTATTTGAATGATACCAAGGTGGAATTAATTTTATCTTTAGGTGGCTCCCCGTGTCCGCAGGTGTGATTCACAGGTGAGAGGTGCTCATCCGTCGAGCCATATCAGGTGACAGGATCGGATCAACGGTCTGCGTATATTTTCGGTTACAGTAGATTTTATTCCAAGGCCGTTTGTGTTTGTTCAGGTGTCTTAACATATAATATCAGCAAGAGTGAGTTGAGCCCGGATTCTTTATACTCAGACAAGGTGCATCTAATGTAGGTGCTAATCAATAAGTCTTAAATCAATTAATTAAAAGAAGTGATTTTACCTAAATTAAACACACTTCTTTATTGTGAGCTTGCAGTATAAACTATTACGATATTAACTGAGCAGAGGTATATAAAGA